AAACATATTAATATAATTAATTTTAGTCTATTAATAAAGCAACTATATTTGAGAAATGTTGAATGAAATAAAATTCAAATATTACATAATATAATACACCTTGAGAAATAAATCTAATTTTTTGGAGAAAGTAGGGGGAGGTCATGCCATTGCCCAGAGGTACCAATTGTCTAAGCCACTGGTTTTAAGTATCATTACAATAGCAGAGAATTACTAATAAACTTTATTGATATATTGCATAAAAATAGAGGATGATATCCAAAAGGTATGGAATCTCTCTCTTTTTTTTTTTAATTTTTCACCAGAAAATTAAAATCTGTCCTTAATTAAATAAACTAATTTAGAATTTTTAAATTTGATTTGAAAGAACTTCCCAATTATTCCTGATGAAAAAGGATTAATGAATTTCAATAAAAATATAGTCATTAAAAAATTATCTTAAAATAAACTCTCAAAAAAATCGTTGTTCAGAACCTTATAGAAATCGATTCTTCAATGACATCCATATTAGATTCCTTGATTCCGAAATATAATAAACATTACATACAATATATAAATAAAATACAGTTTACTGATAAAATAAATCCAACCAGGTTTTATTATTATTTTATTTATCTATTTATTCTTATTTTATATCTTTTATGCTGGGATATGCAATATTGTGATTCCGTTGCTCATCTTCTGTCATTTATATATCTTTAATGTATGTATATATTTTGTATGCTTTAGCTGTTTGGGTTTTAACATAAGTCAATGTTTTTTATTTATGTGATTTTGATATTTTTACTTTCACTTACGCATATATGTAATATATAGTAAGGGTAAGTATTGCGTGAAAATTTTTGAATCTCAGTTTTCAACGGAAATACATGTTTTGAGGTCCTCTGAGTTCAAATAACCAAGTGTCGCAAAATGGTCTGAGTGTGTAGGTCTGTCTGTGTGTGTGTGTGTCTGACTGTGTGTGTGTGTGTGTGTTAACAGTCTAGCTCATAAACGAAAAGTAGTACGAAACTTATATTAAGTATTTAAGGTTTTTATATGGGCCGGATGTGACAGCAACATTTTCGTAAAAATCGGCTAATCGGAAGTGCCACTTAATATTAACGCTGAAACACATTTTTACAATTTTCTCAAAAACGACTCTAACCATTTTGATCAAACTCAGTGTATCATTGTGTAATTAAGTGATCTTTAATATCATTTAGGTCTTATCCCCGTTGATGTCACTTTACAGGGCTTAAATGCCCAATGTTCATATATGTCTTCCTCTAAAGTACCTTTAATATGGTTTATTTTAAAAAGTTAACCATTTTGCATTATTCAGAGTTACGAAAAAATGCTACATATAACTTTTGAAAGAATTTGATAAGTTAATAAAGGAGAAAAAAAAGAAAAACCTGCGTTCCTACAGTCTATACACTGTAGCGCCTAAACGAATGTACCGATTTCAATGAAAATTCGCCAAAGTCATTTTCTCGATACCCTTTAAATTTATCTATATAACATACTTCAACGAAAAGAAGCTGGAAAAAAAGTTACGAGGGATGTTAAAATTAAATTCCGAATAACTCAAAAAGTATACGCTTTTTTTGTGGATATTGTATATGTTTTTTTAAAAGTTTATGGAATTTCCTAAAAAAACAAAAAAAAAATCGTTAAAATCGGACAATTAGGAGGAAAGATATGGTCTCTAGTTTTTTTCCCTGAAGAGGTGAAAATTTGGATAAATTTAAAATATATTTTTTTAATTGTTGAGTTCTATATTTCAACACTGCAATCACCACCTCTGGAATCAACTTACTCATTAATAATTGTCTGCATAGATAACTTTTTCAACTAAAAATATCACTAAAATGACATCACCCAAAAATGTTGAAATTGGAGTTAGTCATTCTGTGGTTTATAAAAGCAAAGAAACTTGTGTGGTTTATAAAAGCAGATTGAGTGAATAGATTTTTATTGCCTGTCGTCGATATATTATATAGACATTTTGTAATTATAATGGTCTTAATGACTTGTTATCTGTAAGCTTTAAGCTTTAGCTCCGTTTAAAATGCACTTCAAAAAATTTTATAATAGCCCAGCATTGCCAGAAAATAATTTCTATTCAAAGTAGATCGGTAAGTGAAAGTTGTGTGTTGCCACCAGATTTTTTCTTTTCTGGAGGTTTTGCTTTTTCTTTCTATACATGTAATTCTTTTTTTTTTCTTTTCCTTTAGTCATTTTCACCAATAAAATTATAAATATAATTGAGAAGATTTTATTTTATTTTTTAGTCATTTACATACTATTATTTAAGTTGCTGTCTTTATCAAGGTAGTTTTTTGGCCAGATATGTATTTTTTCTATGGTAACTGCTCATTATTGTTATTCTAAGGGAACATCGTCCTAGAATAAAGTTTATTTTCTATTTCTATTTTTTTCATTAAGTCACATACAACGATGCCATTAACCCTTTCAACTGTATTTATAACATTGTTTTAAGTTCAGCTTTATAGTTCTTAACAATTCTTGTGAACTTAACAGTTTTTCAGGATAGCTATAGAATTTTAAAGTGAGTATAACTATTATAAATACAGTACACAATACAATACAGATGTACAAATAACAAATTTGATCAAATTATGTTCTTAATAATTCTATTGAAGAAACAGCACTTCAATTATTTATATTATAAATGTAATTACCTAAAAGTTTACTAATTCAAATTTTGAAGCAATTGCACTGCAAGTCTTTGTCAGGAATGGAATTATTCTATGAATAATAAGAATTTTTATAATGTCTGTAAATATTGTTAAAACTGAAGGTAATTAAAAAATTATGTTTGTAAATTTTGGTTTCAAAGGCCAGAAATTCATTTTCTGAATTATCACAAAGAAATTAACTATGTTTTAAATAATACATTTCAATTATAAAAAAAACAGAATTGTAGTATGGACAGAAACCTATATCAGAAATAATATTCTCACTCTTCCACAACACCATATGATTTTTGAAAATAAAGTATTGTGCACAATTTTTAGACCGAACAAAGAACAATGTACTGAAGAATTTAGATGGGTACGAAAAGCCAAATTATGTGAGCAGGACCTTGAAAGTATAATTGAGGTGAATAAAACAAGTACAAAATGAAATTGTACTTAATGGTGAACGAATCTCTAAAAGGTTAATATGAACTGTGTAAACTCTTAGAGGTAGACCGAAGTCAATGTGAGAGACAAACATTAATGTTTATCTTATGGGATTGTGTTTGGTTGGCAGACGGTGGATAATAGTATATGGACTTCGATTGATCCTATCAGCATTGAACCTTTAGATTAGCTTAATCTTTAATTATTGTTATAATCTGGTATTCAAAATAGTTGAATATTTTCAGCTAATATTATCAATCAATCAATATTATCAGCCTCACTAGCAGGCCATAAAATTGTCATTGCTGCTGTGAAACCTCTTATATGACCAATAATCAATTATGTGACTTTGATCTAGTTAGAGCTGGTAAAACCTAGATATGTAAAAAATTGTAGCATGATGTATACACATATAGTGTAATCACATGTTTAACAGTTATGATACAGCCATACTCCCCTCCAAAATTGGACAATGTTTTCTATGACCATATTTAATGGCCTATCTAGGATGAGGCAGGTAGGGCATGTATCTGTGCGCCATTTAAAGGAAGAGGGCGCGAAATTCACAAAGTATTAAACTTAAAAATTCATTTAAACCAGTATTACAACCTACATTCAAATGATTCCTGTACCTGATGAGCTGTAATGAACTAGCAGAAGGGAATCTGGATGATGTAGTACTAATTAGTTAAGATCCTTTGGAAATTATGTATATAAATACCATATACTACAAAATGGTATCCCTATTGAAGTCTCAATGTTGAAAAATGATATTGGAAAAGCGTGAAAACCGCAAAAGATCACAATTTTGACGATTTTCCCTTAAAAATGCTTGGTTTGTACATTTATTACATCCTGAAATTAAATTTACTATCCATTCACAAACTCCGCGATTGAGTGAAAGGAAATGACTGGAGCAATTCCAATTTCCATTCAACTTCTGCTTACAACCGCAGTAATATCGCAAGTTGTGATCTTCCACTAAGTTAAAATTTATATTTATTTATATAGTTATATTTATATTATATTAAATAAAATATAATTCATTAAATAAATTATATTAATTATTTATATTTATATAGTTATTTATAAAATTAATTCGTATTTGATGATAATATGATATCTACAATTGGTCAGGAAAAAAAATGTAGCTTTGCTCATTGTAGAGCGAGAAAAATCCTATAAAACTGATTTCGGAAACATCAACGATTTATTTGTGCCACAGAAGTGTATAAGGTATAATTTTGAGTGTAACGGATTTGTGGACTTAATTTTCTCAAAAACAGAAAATTCTTTTATTTAGTGTTTTTTTTTAATTTTATTTTTTACTAAGATAATATTCAAAGGGGTGCAAATTTGATGCGAGCTGTAGGCGTTATTTTCGACAGCCATGCTCCTATCTGAATTAGTCGAATATTGATCAATAATCGTCAGTCATTGGAGGAGAGGAGATTGAAGAAATCACCTTGTGGTTTTTTATATGACACTTATGACATTTAATATGAAGCTTCCAAGAATTAACGCATAGAAAATTTCAAGCTGCCATTGATGTCATTTAACCAAATATGTGATAAAATGGGAATGATAGAAATTAAACTTGAGTTATTTCCAAGAGCTCCTGTTTCTTGGAATTCTTTTCTACAAGATTTCCAGTTTTTGTTTCTGGTCGATTTATATTTTACCAAAACCTTTAAGATTAATCTAAAAAGAATTTTGTACAGCGGAATTCTATTTCAAAATCAGAAGTAGAGAATGAGGAGCTCGATAAAATTTACTTCTCAAACAGCCGGCTTTTACTTTTATTGTAGTTTATTTTAAGCGTCTTTAATTTAATAATTTATTACGTTTCAAGATAAAGTTTTATTATTTATTTGTTCAATCTTTCGTCATCTTTGTTGTTAATGCTTATTACCTCTCTGCTACGTCATTTTTATGTTGTCGATGGACCTCTTTTAATAACAGAAATTTGGCGCCTTTTGTGACTTGTTATATTGACCAAGTGATATCACATTTTCGTAGTCTGCTGTTGAATTTTGAGGACTGGTATTTTTTTTCTCAGAGTAGGTAATTATCATGAGCACTCGAGGAGCTCTTATAGTAATTGAAGGGTGTGATTGCAGTGGTAAATCGGTTCAATGTAGAAATATTTTAGAATCACTGAATAATCAGGGCATTCCTGCTGAATTAATACGATTTCCTGGTAGGTTTTCATTAATATAATGTATATTCTCGATGATTTATTTCCCAGTAACACATTATATCATATTTTAACCACAGATAGAACTACTGATACTGGTCATTTAATTGATAAATATCTGAGAAATACTGCTGATCTTCCTGATCAAGTTATACACCTACTTTTCTCAGCCAACAGATGGGAATTAAGGTAAGAAATAGTGTGACAAGTAAGGGAATTATTACCTCATATTGCTTAATTCATAGCCACCCTTTCTTTTAACCAGAATTACTAATGGATGTCATTTATTGATTACAGCCTGCTTACTAAAGTAAGATTAATCAGTTTAGTTATTTAAATTTCTTTAACTCTAAAGTTATGATATTTTAATAACTAAATTAATGTATAATCTTATTAGAAAAAAAAAATGTTTAAGTTATTGTTCTTTAGATATCAGATCGTTCCTTAACTATTTGACAATGGAAGAGAAGGCAAGGTAGTTAAGCTGCTGAGGCAGTGAATTTGAGAAGGTAGAACATTACTTGCGACAGAATACTTTTTCTGCCTCTTAACACTCCTTTTTCTTGATTAACTAAACTAATTGATTGTGTATTTAACATTTTATTTGAATTTCATAATTATATCATTTAGATAAAAATGAATCATATGACACATAATCGAACATTCAGTTTTAATGTTTTTTCCAAGACTTAATTCATGGAGTTTATTATTTTCATGTATTTGATAATATTATATAAGATATAATACAAAACAGACTAATCTAGAAAGTTTAAAAGGATTTGACTAAGGGCAGTATAATCTGAGCCCATTCTACCTTCATAACTGAAGGCATAATGTGTCTAGTTGCTGGAAAAGGTACTGTAAGTTCTCTAAAATCCTTCTAGATATTTCTAAGATCGAAGCGCCTAAGCAGTGTATCATCCACAGGATTCACCTCCATCTATAAGGCTCACTTGTTTGTTAATTATTTATTTATTTAATTAACTATTTTTTCAACAGGTCTAAAATGGAAAATCTTTTGACGAATGGCATTACTTTAGTTGTTGATCGATATTCTTTTTCCGGAGTGGCGTATTCCTATGCTAAAAAGGTTTGCATCAAAATAATATTAATTAATTTTTTGCTATACGTTAGTTGCCTATTATTGTAAGTTTCTTACATCTATACTTCTTTCCTCCAATTCGGATGACCCAACGCTTACCCTTACTGTATATCCCTGTTCCCGCTTTGCCTAACAAGTCACAACCTATTATGCCCCCGCAATCCCTTGGCATGTTTTTCACTATGTGAACCCACAATCTCGTGCTTCTAGTCATCCATTTATCCAAATTTAATTCCGCTTCTCCTTCTACACTACAAGGCCCACCCAAAGTGATCAATTTGCTCTTACATACATGTATTCTTGGTATCCTCCCTCCTTTACACAACTCCTCTAATCTATTTTGGCTCATTATTGTATTTGAGCTACCTGTGTCTGCCAAAAACTTCACTCTACTCGCGACCCATATAATTGGCAAACCTATGCACTCACTAACTATATTATTTATTACTGCATGTTAGTAACTATGCTCCTCTCCCACTCTCCTCATTCTTTATTTCTTCCTCTCCTCTCCGCTTGCTATTCCTCTTTCTCTGCCATTCTTACTGCTTCTGTCTCCTTGAGCTCCTCCTCGGGTTCGGTCCTCTCTTACTTCAGTTCCATCTTCCATTCCTGATGATCCTCCTGACACAGATTCTGATCTTCTCCACAATCTTTGTGCGTTTACTTCTATTGGTTCAACACTTTTGCCTTGAGATGTGCCTCTCATTTACACCCAAAACATCTGGTCCGCGGACAATTTGCTACTAGGTGTCCTACTTTCCTACATCCCTGGCATCTCCTGTCCAGATTCCATAATTTAAAATCATTCAACCTTCTAAGTACCTATACCATATTACTCAAATGACTAAATTTTCATCGAATTTTAATTGCTATTATTTTTTAATTATTACATTAACTTTATTTTATACTAAATGTCTTATTCAATTTGTTAAATGATATTTTTTTAATTTTCATTTGTCTCTAAATAAATTTTATTGATCAATAACTTTCCCTACGTTTATTCAATTATTTTTTTTCTTTCAGTATATTCACCTAATAACTGTCATATTTAACCTTTTATTGTTTTTAGAATGGAATGAATTTAGAGTGGTTGAAATCTCCAGAAAGAGGTCTTCTTAAACCTGATCTAGTCCTGTTCTTAAAATTAGAACCAAACGTAATTAAACAACGAAAAGGTTTTGGAGAAGAAAGGTATGAGACATTAGAATTTCAAGAAGCTGTGTTCAGGTGTTTTGAATTATTAACAGATGATACTTGGAAGGTATGTTTTCTATCAATTATTTAGTTTAAAGCATAGATGGGCATAATCATAATCAACGATTACGATTATAATAAAAAAAAAGAACACAGTTCTTTGATTACACGATTGTAATTGTAATCATGTTTTTGTTTTTGAATATAGTCGTGTAATAATGTAATCGTAATTATAATCATTGTAATAAAAATCACTGTAATCATAATCGCATTATCGTAATAAAAAAATCAAATTTTTTTCACGATTTTCCTCTGTTTAGGATAGACTAAAAGGAAAATTAGTTTAAAACATTTCCTATTTTTCTTTTAGCTGTCAGGAGCACTTTCTATCATAATACCATTTAAATAATAACATTTAACATATTCTGAATTTTCATTCGCTTTTTCCTCTTTTATCTCGTGAATGAAATGCTCAGTTTTTTTACTTTTCCAACTGTGTAGGTGTAAGCGACAATGGAGAATTGGTGTTGAAAATTTTCCAAATTTTTATTCGCTTTCCTTCTTTTATCTTGTGAATGGATGGTCAGTTTTTCACTGTTCCAACACTTTTCCAACAAATGATCCCTTTAATCATTTGTTTCATACTTTAGGTCATAGCTTGTTATGCGGTGGTGACTTTAATGCTAAAAATCAAATATGATCAATGTCTCTCCTGGAATAACCATGTTTCCCAAGTTATCCAAAAATATGTTGCTACCCCTAAACAGTCCCTGAAAATCCTTGATTCTATACCACTTAAATCCAATCGACTTTTGTTTCCCCTCTTATTTTTCCTCACTTAAATTATGGCATGAAGTTAGATTGAAGAGGACAATGAATTGTTTCATTAGATTGATCTTTGAAGTCCCCAGGCACTTCCACGTTTCCAATAGGTTTGTTGAATTGAAGTTGCTATATCCAGTTTCTTAATGAAAATATTTCTCTTTTAAAGTATGTTTCTTTTTCTTCTGAATTTTTACTACAAAAAAGCTTTCTTTCTTGATTTGTTTACTCCTTGTTCCTCTGTTCATTCCTTCAACATGAGATCCCACCTAACATACCAATATATTCCTTCTCATAGAACTGTGTATTTTTGAAAAATCCTTTATAATGCGTGCTACCTTGTTTTGGAATTACTTACCCTCTTCCATACGCTAAAGCTCTTCTTTAACTTCATTTAAACACCAATTGTTTTTTCATCTCCTAAGCCATCAATCTCCAGAATTGAATATTTTACCAATCTTATTCTACTTTTTTATTAATACTTATTATTTATATTGCTTAACTTGCAAATATGTAAACATATGGACATTTATTTACATATTTTTTAATCAGGCTAGTCCTTTATTTTAATTTTAATATATGTTGTACAACTTTGTAATTTAATTATTATCTGCCTGCCATTAGTGCCTGACAAATCTAAATGTCCTAGAATTAAATTTACTTTCTTCTTCTTCGAAATAAATGAGAAATGTTCTAAAGGCTGATGAAGAAACCATAGAAAAAGAAGTAGCAAATAAGAACAGCTGCTAGTTCGAACAAGAGCAACAAAATTCTGTCGACGAAAAGAGAAAAGCTTTTATGAGAATTATATTGAGAAAAACTAGACTAGCAACAGAAAACTATGCCAAACAGAGAGAAAATAAAAAAAAAAAATCTCCAGAAGTAAAAAGAGGAAAAAAAAGAGAGAAGATCTAAAGTTAATAATAGGGGATTTTGTGGGTAAAAACAATAGAAATTTTTATCAAAAAGTGCTTAGAAAAAGATTCCAACCACGAATAACTTTCTACAAAAGCAGGAGTGGAACGCTACTGTCACCCAGACAGTGGCGTTAAGTAGAAATTTGACTGCATCTAACTAAAAGTAAAGGATTGTTACCCTCTAATAAAATGACTCATTTTTATGATTAATTTTCAATCACAATAACAATAGATTTATGAAAGAATTAAAAGTGAAGAGATGTTTTCCAAATAGCATTAACACTCTAAGATACCAGAAATTCACTTTGCTACCTATTGTTGGATGAGAACCACCTTCTCCAACTCGTCAAGCTATGGTGTTAAGTAATTGTTTATTGGGCTTTAACATACTTCTGTACTTCCTGTACTGGAGCAAGAATGTCCAATCTTCTCTAGCCAGAGACAAGCTTAAGCTATAAGAAGTTCAAGATTTATTCCATGCGCTCCATTATTCCAAAAAGTCCCGAGATTTATTTCCATGAAATAAAAGTCAATCTGAATTCTGAAAATCAGGCTGAATTGATAACCAAGAATGCTGACATCTCACTTGTCCGTGGTGTTTAATAATACAACTTGATGTTATAATATTTTCAATATTTAAGTAACTGGACGAATGGAAATAAAATAAAGAAGGTTTAGAAAATAGCCATGTCTTCAGTTTATACTTTCATCTGTATCTACTCCTTAACAACTAAAATATAATTATGAATAAAGTTTTAGTATAAACCAAAGCATCATGGTACTTATCATAAAGTCAATTTGATAATTATGTAACTTATAAAAAGTTTTAAATGATTTAACAATAAATAAATAAAAAATCTGGTGCATGCTTCACATGAATTTCACTTACCACTCTCTTAGCAGAAATAAGTATTTTCAGACAAATTATAGATGCTAAAAATTATTAGAAGTAAAAATTATAGATGCTATATTTATTTACATTTCATTGTGGGTATTTTTATTTGTTTAAATACCCATATATAAACAAATTTTAATTTTTATATTACTGTATTCTATACAATTAAATATTAAATAATACCAACGATAGCATTTATGAAAACCGCATATGTATATGTATATAATATGGTCAGAGTCTGTATTATATTAAGTTCATGTTACGTATAGAAGACTGTTGTACTCTTTCAGGCGAACTCAGTTGCGCTCGTATTTCTTTGGTTCTTCCATTACAACTATTATCTGTTATGATCTCTTATATCTCCTTTAGTTAATTATCAAATTTATTCATATTTTATATTTTTTGTATTATTAACTATTTTTGTATCAAAAATTAATGTGAAATGGTTAATTATTTCAAATAAAAAAAAATTAAAGGTACTTTAGAAGAAGCTAATACTGAAAATTAGCCATTTATGTCCTGTTAGAGAACACCAATGAGAATAAAACCTACGTCATATTTAAAACTGCTTAGTAATACACTGATATACTGAGTTTAATCAAAATCGTCAAGAGCCGTTTTTGAGAAAATCGTAAAACTGTGTTTAATCGATTATGTAATCGAAGTACGGGTTCCGGTTTGACGAAAATGTTGCTATAACATCCAAGGATTATAAAAACCTCAAATACATAATTTCAGTTTCGTATGGCTTTTCATTTTTGAGCTAGGCTGTTCACATACACAAACACCAGTGTTGTGCAAAATTTATCTTAAATAAAAGATAATAGATAACAAATAATTTATTCGAACTTTTGAACTACAAATAACGAATAATTGTGTTTATCTTTTATCTAGATAATAAATAAATTCAAGTTAGCTGTTATCTTTTTATTTGTTATTCGACTTTTTTCAAATAAATTTCGAATAATTTGACGCTAATTTTATTTTTCTTCTATATATGGGCCAATGTGTTTATTTTCAGATCCATAGTTTTTGAAAATTATCTCCATTTTAAGATTAGGCCACTACATTGCGACTTTTTTGAGTTTTTAGGATTTCTTCCATATCAGGGTTTTGGAGTTGATTTTTATAAGATAGCGCCTCCCTCCCTCCCTCCCCCATCTCATGGGGGCGCCATCTCAAATCCGACAGTATTTTCATAAAAAGGGCCCCCAAAACATATTAGTTGACCCTCATATCAATTAAATCTGAAAAGTTACAAAAAGTAGGTTCGGGGTGGGCGGGGGGAGGTATCTCAAATCCGATAATATTTTCATAAAAAGTGTCCCCCAAAACATATTAGTCGACCCTCATATCAATTAAATCTGGAAAGTTACAAAAAGTCAGTTCGGGGCGAGAGACTCTATCTCAAATCCGACAGTATTTTCATAAAAAGGGCCCCCCAAAACATATTAGTCGATCCTCATATGAATTAAATCCGCAAAGTTACAAAAAGTCAGTTGGGGGGGGCGCTATCTCAAATCCGACAGTATTTTCATAAAAAGGGCTCCCAAAACATATTAGTCGACCCTCATATCAATTAAATCTGAAAAGTTACAAAAAATCGGTTGGGGTGGGGGCGCTATCTCAAATCCGACAGTATTTTCATAAAAAGGGCTCCTTAAAAAATATAAACAGACCTAAATATTGAAGAAATTCTAAAATTGCAAAAAAGATTATTCGAATCGGATTTTTATCTTAAATAATGAATAATAGATAACAGATAATGCATATTATTTGTAAATAACGAATAATTATCTGTCCAAATGTTGTCGAATAAGAAATAATGAGTAAAAATGTATCTATTATTCATTATCTAGATAAAATTTCAAATAATTTATTTAAATAACGCCCAACACTGACAAACACACACACAAGCAGGCAGACCATTTTGTGGGACTTGATTATTTTGATAGGGGATCTCATTCAGATAGGAGATCTGATAGGAGATCTCATTCAGGGGATCTCAAAACGAGTATTTCTGTAGAAAACTCAGATTCGAAAATTTTCATGATCGCAATACTTAACCTTACTATATATTACATATGTAGGTAATTGAAAGTAATAACTAGGAATTTACAGTTGAGGACTTTATAATGATAGTAGAGTCACTTTTACTTTTTGTTCATTAAATGAATGTTTCGTAAATGTAAATTAATAAAATGTTTATATTATATCCATACAATTGAAACACTAGGGAAAGAGTCCTTGAGTGCCTATTTTTGATGGCTGTGGGTTCAATTCTTAACTAGATTGGTTAATATTTATTTCTCGGAGGCCACAAAACTGAATTTTGACTCTTCCACCCTGATTGATTAATATGTGATGGGAACCTTTAGGGGTAATTAGGAAATCAGGGGTTGGTAAAAAAAGCCCACTTGCTGTGCTAGTTAC